ATATATATATAAGTTGTTGTTTGTTTGTTATTTTCTTGTATTATAGTAAATATATGAATATAATCTCCAATAAAATGTACCATGCTTTGCTTTTCGGTAATAACATCTGTGTGTATTATACTAGATGCAATCTAGGTACATACGTGTATAATGCAATTTTATTGAATCTTTACGTGTATGTATTTTATTATTACGTCTACGAATCTGTATCTATTATATGAAACTAACGTCTTCTTGTTAATAATAATTCTACAGTTGCTTTTCGACTAAAGGGATTGATGGAATGGCGAGGAGAGGGGTGGGAGGGGGGGGAAGGAGGAGAGATACATTTCGCGGGAATTATCGAGTCAAAAGTGGGTAAAGGTGTGCACGATCAATACAATTATGTATAATATAATAATCATAAGTAAACATGCTTCACATTCTTGGGGATTTTTTTTTCGTTTCTATTTTTTTCTCGTTTTTTTTTTTTTCTTTATTATCACGATTCGAACATCGAGACAGAGGAGAATAGCGAGCGCCGAGCGTGTATTAGTCGTCGTTAATCACCGTTTTACCGTAAATTAGGGGATGAATTTAACGGTATTATTCTTATAAACGAAGAAGAGACCAACCACTATTTTTTCGAGGAAACATGGCAATTAGTTATAAAGCAGAAGGAGAAAGCTCGTGTCAATTTCTTTTCTTCTATTTTTATTTTTGCTTTTGTTTTTTTTTTTGTTTTCATTTAATTCCTTTTTTTCCCTATTAATTCCCTTCTGTTCTTGAAGGAAACACGTCGTTTCATTTTCATCGTCTTTCTCTCTCTCTCTCTCTCTCTCTCTGTTTTTTCCCAAATTTTCATATTTGTATTATCAAGCGTGTGGCGTGTACAAAACATTAACAATGAGCGTAATGATATAACGACGATTTTTATTTCCCACTTTTTTTTATATATTTATTTTTTCATCGTTTTCTTCTTCTAGTCTTTTTGATTTTTCTTCTTCTTCTTCTTCTTTTTCTTCTCCTAATCTCTTTGATTTTTCTACGTCTTTGGATTCTTCATTAAAGCGAGAAAGCTTAAACTTGTGCGTACCGTAGACTCTTTGCTACATTTTTATCTATATACGTTTTTTGAGGAAATCTGCTCCACTTGTCTCCTTCTCTCTCTCTCTCTCTCTCTCTCTCTCTCTCTCTCTCTCTCTTTCCCTTATTTTTTTTTTCTTATTAAATCTTGCATATACCCGAGAAAAAGGCGATCAACTCCCTCGTTGGTATTCATCTCACATAATATACTTGTTTTCCTCGTAAGGGATATAAAGGTCGGGGAGGGGAGGCGGGTGGTCGGAAGGGATAGGGCTATGCAATTTACAACGACGTTTGAACACCTTTGAAAAAACTGCTGCTCGTAATATTACCGAAATAGTAATACAGTAGTAATATATTAATAGTAGTAATAGTAGTACGTGGTAGTAATAATAGTTTGCCGTTAAGGGTTGCGGCTGCTTTCTGTGTAATAATGTTTACTGTAAAAATGTCGACTAGGAGAGGAGGTACTTGTCGACCCTCTCAAGCTCAAATCACTCGAAAAGCTTAATCGAACCTGACAAGCAATAATACAACCCAATAATCGGCCTTCCTTCTTCTTCTTCTTCTTCTTCTTAAACTCGTATTATTTATCTTCAGTATTTTTGTTTGTTTGTTTGTTTGTTCTTTTAATTCCTTTTCTACTTTTTTTTTTTTTCCTTTTATTATTTTACATTTTTTTTTACTTCCTCTTCTTCTTCTTCCTCCTCGTTCTCGTTTACTTCTTAATTTTTTTCTTCTTATTTAACTTCTCCTTAAAATTATATTTTAACCTCGTCCACAAGAATATACCATTTTAATCTAAGGAAGAAATTGGTGGAGGATGAGGAGGAAATGCTTGTGGGTGAGAGGATTGGGAGGGAAATTAGCGGTAACACACATGCCTCGAGAAAAGGAGGGATGGAGGAGAGTGCTGCTGCTCCTTGATAATAATCGCATACGTAAAACGACAATCGCAAATCCTAATAATAAATCCACGCTTTTATACACGACTAAAATCGCATTTAAACGACCTAATTAGATTTTTAATTTTTTTTCTCACATCATCATAAATCGTAAATACTAATTATTAAAAGGTGACGAAGGAGGAGTAGGAGGGTGGAAGGGAAAGAGAGAAGGGATAAAAATTTGAGGGTACGGATTCAGGGTTCTTTATTTGTTTTTTTTTATTTTTTTTTTTTTGTTCTCTTTCATCTTTTATCTGAATTCTTTCTAAACGATACTCGTAACGACTATTCTTTTATGTTTTTTTTTTTTTTTTTTAGCATTAAATAGAGTAGATAAACGTTAAACGAAGCTCAGTTGATTGTTTCGGGAACGACCACCTCGCTTTGTGTTAATTACATTTTTTTTCCTATGTCTGTCTGTCTGTCTGTCTGCCTGTCCGTCCGTCCGTCTCCAACTCTTTCGTTTGCTGTTATTACAATAAATTTCCGTTCTTACTTACTGTCAGGAATTTTTTTGGAATTTTTTTACGTTCTTTCGTTTTTTTTTTTTTCCTTCTTTCTCATTTTTCAAAGGAAGCGAGGTGTGTATTATGCGTATTATCTTTATTCGTGTATTACCGTGTATGTGCTTGCCCCTGCGTGTGTTTTTTTCCTCACGTTATTATACGCACACATATATTATAGTTCTTTTAAAAGATTGATCCGCATTATCATTGTATTATTTCAATGTTACTTTTGCGTTTAATTTTCTGTTGTATTTATTCGTTTCTATATCGTGCGCAAGAAATCTATGAAAATTTCTCCCATAGAAAAGTTTCAATCGATTATCGTCGCGCTAATTATTAATTTGATTTCAGGACGATGTATTATATTCTTTTTGACATTGTTGCTATTGTGGTTGCATCTTTATTTTTCTTTTACTGCTGCTGTTTTGCTGCTGCGATTTAATGCTGGGATATCGCGATAAATGTCCTTTTTTTATTATTATTATTATTATTATTATTATTTTTTTTTTTCTATCTACGACCCTGGCGAGGAACTTTGCGTGCTTCCTTCATTTCTTATTAGTTTTCTTCTTCTTTTTCTTCTCTCGTATTCACCTCACTGTCGTCTAACTCTTATCGACCGATAAATTAATTTTTCGACGTCAGGATCGTCACGAATTCTGAAAACAAAAAAAAAAGAAAAATGCAAAATAATTTAGTACGTTCTTTTTTTTATATCGTTGCCCGCAAGAATATTTCGTTTATTTAAAATTAGTTCTACGTGTTCTTCTTTTTTTCTAACGCAAAAGAGAGAGAGAGAGAGAGAGAGAGAGAGAGAGAGAGAGAGAGAGAAAAAGCGATACCAACGAAGAGATTCATTCACATTGTCGATTAACGATAATAATTTTCTATTGTCATTGACAATAATTACCTTCATAGTTAACCATTCCATCGCCATCCAGGTCCGCCTCTTTGATCATGTCGTCGACTTCCTCCTCCGACAATTTTTCCCCGAGATTTGTCATTACGTGACGTAATTCTTTAGACGAGATCAGGCCGTCTTTGTTCTTGTCGAATACCCTGTACGACGGAAATAATTATCGAATTAATTTCCGGGGGAAAAAAAAAAAAGACAAGTCAAGAGGTAGTGAAAAAAAGTAGAGAGTAGAAGAAAGAAAAGAGAGAGAGAGAGAGAGAGAGAGAGAGAGAGGGAGAGGGAGAGAGAAGGGAAGAAATTAAAGTAAAAAAAGGGTAAGGAAAAAAGGATAGGAAAAAGAATTCTCTAGTGGCACAACCGACTTTCTTAAATATCGATTAGCTAGCTCGAAAGTCACCTAAACGCTTCGCGTAGCTCGTCTTTTCCATCTGCTCCCTTCATTTTTTTAGACATCATTTGCAGAAACTCATTAAACTCAATGGTACCATTACCGTCCTGATCAACTTGATTCACCATGTCTCGTAGTTCCGTATCTGTAATGCATAAACAGTACCATGCAATTTAACTAATTACGATGTTAACTTGACAGTTTTTAATTATAATCTTTTCCCAATTAATTTTAAATAAACTTCAAATATTCGTAAACAAATAACAAAGTTTATTATACAAATATTTTTAACATATATTTTTATTTGTTAAATAAATAAATATATAAAAATAGAAGATGACATAGAAATAATCTATTGAAATTATTTTCGTTGGTCGATACGCATAATTGGGAAAAGAAAGATAAAGAAAAATAAAGAAAAAGATTTTTAAGTTTATCCGTACAGTAAAGATATTTTGCCCACGCGATGCTTTCATCAGAGAAAGAGAGAGAGAGTGAAAAAGGAAGAGTATGGCTTGAAGCCAGATCGTATTTACCTTCTGGCCTACGAATAACGATGCCGTCGTCCGAATATTTGTGAGCGCGTGCACGCGATACGCATAAACATAAATCGTACGTCCGCTTAAAAAGCATTCTTACTCACCGGATGGTCTCTGTCCCAATGATCGCATGACCACGCCAAGTTCCGCCATGGTGATTGTACCATCCTCATCTTTGTCAAACAACATAAATGCTTCTTTGAATTCTGTAAAAAAGAAAAAAAAAACAAAAATAACTCTAATCGATATAATTAATTATGTCAATCGATAGTATCAATTAATTGTTTATCTCGTCCAAAAATAAAATTATTAATAAAGGTATCTTTTAGGGAAATTGGACAGGTTGAAAATTTGTAAGAACATTTATTTTGATCTCATTGAAGAAAAGATTGAAGAAAGATATCTATTATTGGAAGCGATTTTTGTTAAAAAAAATAACATTATTTCTAAAATATTAAATATTCTCTCTCTCACAGTTCATGTAAGAAACATTAATTTTTTAGATAAGCCCTTGATCAGTAATACCAAGCAAAAAATACTTTCGTTAGAATTCTTGCAAATATATAGCAAAAGAACGTCCTCTTTAATATGGATTATAATTAATTAATTATATTAATTGATTGATTGCATTTTTATGATACAGCCAATTAAAATTCCATTATTTTTACAGGTCAGTATTATTGGAAAAATATTTACATTAATATAATGTACACATAGGGAACGTTCCGATATGTAAAGAAGAAAAAAATAAGAAGATAAAATACGAATTCAGCGCGATATCAAAAACCATATGTATAAATTTTTCCTATCAACGGGGAAAGCACACGCGAGACCTATATTGCCACACAGCCCCACTCGTACTTTATCCGATTTCTATTTCATGACCTTATAAAATAGCAAACGTTGACCGATATTTCTTTTCTCTTCTTCCTACGAAGAGACACGCGAGTTTAATCAATTCGATCTTTGGCTGTGTGCCGCCTAAAAGAAAAAAGTCTGAAAGATTTTTATTGAAATAAGCAACGTGTTATATAGGGGCTTGCAAAAAAGAAACAACGATTAATATAGTTTTTGTTTTAGCGATTAAGTCTATTCCTTTGACTCGCTAATTGGTTTCACTATCCTATATTGTGAAACCTCGTCATACTATTGTAATTAAAATTTTAATAAACCACGAATATCGGGGAAAGGATTTTCACAAAAAATTTTCTTCTACTTTTACTTCGTACGAAGAATGTATTATTTTAAAATAATTTTTGTTTGTCCGTTCAAATTCTGTTTGAACGGGAGGTAAAAAGAACAAGAATTTTTAATAAAAATTCTTGCCATTTGTTCGTTCATTCGTAACCGAATTAGGGGGAAAAGTAATGGGGATAAAAAGGCAGGTGAAATAAATTCTTGACGAATTCGAGAAAGGAAAAGTTATACGTTCGTAATTCAGCTTTAACGAGCAAGCAAGATTACGTTTCGCTTAGTAAGCAGGAAAAAAAAAAAAAAAAAAAAAACAATATTGAATGTTTTCGTAATTAAAAACTTGCTGCCGAATACGATCTGCTTTGCTGTAGGTAGGTATAGCATGAAAATCACAACAAAAAAAAGAACTTTGAAAAAGTCTTATATACTTACATATATATTTAAATACATACGTACGTAGGTACAAAAGAGAAAGAAAAATAGAAATAATGGATGAAACTGAGTGGCGAGTCAACGCGTTGCACTATTACTACATACATTTGCATATGAAAATACTCGAACCGAATTTAAAATTAAACGGAGAGAAAATCTAGCTGCGATAGTTTTCTCGGTACGTAACGAGAACCCAAATTTTTATTTACGACAATTAATTACTAATGACAGAAAAATAATCATAGTTTATAATTAAAAATCAAGATAATATTAAACTTACCAGCGACTTGATCCTCCGTGAGACCATACTCGGACTGAAAACAAAAAAAAATATATTAACATTATTTCAACGCGAATAAAATAATCTCGTAGAAAATAGAAATGTTACTACTAATGAGATAGAGAAAAGTTTAATAGAGGAATGATTATTCTACGTAGATGCAACAATTTTTATTTATTGTCGAACGCGTTCTCGTTAACGAATGTAAAGCTAAAATCAAATTGAGAAAGGAAGAGAGAAAAAGAGAGAGAGAGAGAGAGAGAGAGAGAGAAATAGAGAATTCGTGTTCTAAACAAGTGTATAATCAGGCAAGTGGGCGTGGCATGACGTTCGTAAAGTTCGCGTAATTAACGACGGCGCTTTGTGACTTGCGAATACTGTCATTATTATGTCAATTTATCCCACCTCCATGCTTACGCTTGTATTTCACACGATAGATCAGCATTAAATGTTTGTTGAATCAAAAGCTCATGTTGTTTAACATTAATGAAACCATATTGACTTATTTAAAGCATTAAATAATATTAACTAAGAGAACGAACGCGTTTCCACATTGTCAACGTTAATAAAGTTACGTTTCGTTGATTAGATATAAAATAAAATAAAACAACAACAGCAATAACAACATTATTATAATAAATGATGAATAATTTGTGGAAATCCGATATAAAAAAAAAACCCCGATGCAACTTGGGATTGATGTCGACGTTCTCATTTTTTTCTCGATAGAAGAATAACGATCTCCTTGTATTTTCTAGCTTTTAATAACGGAAGTTGATATCGAAAAACGGTGGAATGGAGATGTCACCAACATCGTAAATCCATACAGTCAATCTTTATTTTTCTTTCTTTCTTTATTTCTTGTGTGTTGTGTCAGAAAGCTTTTGTCAGCAGTCGGTAGGAAAAATATTGCGGTTCAATCGCGAACGATTTCATTTCCATATCTATTATTTCGATTTCCACGTTTCGGCGGTTTCCTTGTAATTCAGCACAGTTTGACAGTATAGGTGATGTGCTTTTTGGGTTGGATAATAAAAAGAGAAAGAGAAAAAGAATGAAAGTGAGAGTGAGAGAAATGATAAAGGCGGGGCACTTTTTACGGCTTCACAAGTTCTCGAAAGTAGAACACTCACAGAAATATTTCTGATCTGACAATCGATTTGATTTGTTAGCCGTCGAAGTTTACGATATTCTTGGGTGTATTTCCTCGAGTCGTCTGCCATAACAGTGTGACTATCGAATAGATACTAAATTCGAATAGATCTTTTAGTCGGCAAGAGAAAACTAGCAAACTGGACAGGATGGTTCTTGGCCGATTGCCTAGTTGGTGGTAGGCTTTCATTAGAATCCCTATCCCTGTGATTTCATACGATGTATGCTTTTAATGAAGAGGTCACACACTCTTCTACCGACTAGCTTATATCTTATAATAACGTCTCGCGGTATTTCGTTGTCGTTATTTAAAATTATGTTTTAACAAGTGGAGGTAATGTAACATTGATTCGCACAAGCGCCGTTTAAAAGGTAAACTAAATTGTAAATTTATCTTTCGTTTGCTTTTCTTATTCTTCTTTTTTTTTCTTCTTCTTCTTTTTTTTTCTTTCTTTTTTTGTAACCATAAAAATATCATTGACAAATAAGTATACGATATCGAGACTAATTTATATAAATTAAGACTAGAAATTGGTCGGACAAGAAGCGTATTGTTTGAAAAATTATATACCATTTGAATTTTTGTGGATCTAGCCATTTCATGATAAATTGGTGTTGAATATTCTAACGCGGTTCGTTCCGTTATAATGGTCACTATCCGTATGATTAACGATAACTTAGTGATAATCTAGCGACGGTAGCGAAGAGAAACAGGTTGCGTGCAGAACTCGGTGAAAAATACGAAAGTATACGTTCATATTTTATAAGATACCACGCAAACGTGTTGTAATATTTTTTCCGATAATGTTGTTTGGTCTGTACAATAAAAAATATCTTTTACAGTTACATAAAGAACAAAATAATATGCCATATGAATTTTTTTAATAAAAAAAAATAAAATGACCTACAGAAAGTAGGATAAAGTTTTTATCCATTTATAAATTTTTAGTTGGACTTATAAAACGAATTGGATTTAAATTTTTATCTTGAGAGAGCAATTGGGAAATGCTTCTGTTATATTATGTTCCATTTATTCTATTAAATCTAGGTATTATAATAAGTACGTCAACTTCAAGGAAAAGAGGATCAAGGAATACGACCACTTGACAAGAATTTGTAATTCAAATATCTAGCCAAAAAATGGATGTTAACGTCTTAAAGGTTTTAATACCCCGAATGTGTTTTGAAGATGACATATATAAAGATATATTTTATGTAATAGAATTTCTTATAATTAATAATTAAATGTAATAATTAAATAATTCATTGTGTGTGATAGTATAGCAGAAGAACGTAACCTTTGATAAACGTAAATTGACGAAAAATTGTGAACTATAAGAAAGTATCGGAAAATATTACATTATAGTTTGCAAATTTCTAAAGCGAGTAAAGACAATTTTCGAACAAAGCGTAATCGCAATATTTCAAAGTAAATCAAATTTTCTAACAATAAGAGGAAAATTGTGATACAAGATGGAAGGAAGGTGGTAGAATTTTAATGATTCTTGAATCATCATATTATTTTCTTAGGAACAATTCCTTGTTACATTTCAGAAGGAATCAAACTTTCCCGTACTATTTAAAATTCTAGAGAAATGGAATAAGAATTGGAATAGAGAGTTCTAATCAAGTGAAGTAGATATATTTTGAAAAAATCATATCAAATTATAACAAATTGTATTGCAACGACGTATCTTAATCAATGTATCCTTTAATTATTTAAAATATATCCCCGAAGTGTAGTTTCGTGTAAGCATTGAGCACTTATTAGGCAATTCTTATGATAATTCTTGCAGTTGAACTGTCATTGTCATCGACAATTGTATGCGCATTATACATACATACATATCTACATATATTCATATATTCGTACATACATACATAAGTAAATTCAAACATACATATATTCATACATATGATAAGTGCAAAATTCTCGTATGAAGTAATTCATCTATGTTGAATAATCCAACGATTTATCTTACTATCGAATATTCGGATCTCATCAAAAATGTGTAACTTCAGTGTTACTCTAGATTCATAATTATACTGTTAAAAGCAGAATTTCTTTACGAAAGTAGGAGAAGGGAAGTGAACAAAGAAAAGAATTGAAGAAGAAGAAGAAGGAAGACAGCGTCATGTCGATTGTAAGTACTGTGGGAAAAGGAACACAACTCTGTTACTCCTCTCACATGAGTTAAAACTCGGGAAGCTTTTCGACGTTCAGCGTTTCAAGAGAGAAAAACGAAATATCATCGAGGAGGTGTTTTTTTTCTTTGCTTTCCAACACTTGGATATTTTCTTCGGATCTCTTTCTACAAAAAGAGTTGCCAAGGTCGAGCTTTTTGATTTGGGTCATGTCATTTTCAAGCAAGTTTCAGATAGAAAGAGAAAGAGAGATAAAGATAGAGATAGGGAAGAAACTTCGCATAAACTCACGAACAGATCTGATAGTGAGAGGAACCCGGTGTCTTCTTGGAATGCATGTACATTCCCTCATCGTTTATACATATGTACATTTATGAAATTCTATAGAATTTCAACATGAAACTTAAGACATCTTATGCGAATCCTTCATCGTCTTCACCTCGACAATTTCTCGAAACGTATATACATATAAATAAATGCATACAAATTTAAAACGTATAAAAACATATAACTGTATAAATATATTCGTAAAATTGTATTTGTCTCCATCTTTTAGAAACAATGTAATACTATGTCATTTTATAAAGAAAAAAATTGTGACACACGGTAGAAGGTGAAAAATTTTGAACGATCCTTTGCAAACGTCTTCTTTTATTTGGAACAAATAATTCCTAGCTAATAGAGTATACCTCATACACGAATTTCGATTTTGAAATTTCCATTGATATCGTCATAATAAACGAGAAACTCCGATTCATATTTAATCTTAATTGATTTTTGATTCTTTGCGATTTTTAAATTAAGTCAACATTGATTATATTTTCTAAATTCATCGGTATCGTATTTATTTTTTTTTTCTTCTATAAATAAAGAAAAAGAAGGAAGAATATTTATGAGTTTGGTAAACGATTGTGAAAACGTTAGATGAAATAGTAAAATTTTCTTTTTTTATATTGATGAAAAGTAAATGCACACATAGTCCACGTGGTAAGTGAAACTAGAACTTTTTCAAAAGAGAAACGAAAAATTGATGAAACGTAGAAGCGAAGTTTGAAATGGCAGAACGATAATAGCGATAGAAAAATATTCATTTCTTTTTGAAAAGACCGCACGATATTATGGAAAAATAAACAAATTTTGACAAATGTATAATTCAATGATATTACTCGTACCGTTAATGGATTTTGTTATAAATCAAGATTTGACTAATATCATAACTTACGCTAATTTGTCTCGTTTGACAATCAATCGTACTAGTCAATCTTCTTAATTTCCCATAAGCCGAAGAATATTTCTTTTCCGTGTCGGCCATTTTTCCGGAACACTCGTTCATTATTCCTCGCGATATAATTTTTCGTTTAAAAAGTAGAGAAAAATTCTTTTTGAGCTTTTTAGCCACGTAAAGATCTTCCCAAGGTCTCGACACTTGTCTCAATAATTCACACGTTTTACAGCATCCTTTAAGCTCAAAGTTACGATGCGGTACGGTACCCGATCACACAATTATCACACAAGAGGGAGGGTACATTTATTTTACTCAATTACTTTGATTTTTCTTGTTTGTTTCTTCAGCTTTAAACTTCCTTTCTTTGATTCCTACCTCTTCGTTCTTATTATTACTTTCGAAGGTTAAACACGTCCCGCTTATTTAAAAAAAACTCCTCTTCTCGTTCGATTTCACGCAGTAAGGGGTCGATGCACATTACTCACGACAAGCTAGTACTAGCACGATTCCGAGCCAAAATAATATTTATGGACTACCGACGTTATGTTCAAACTAAGAATCACTGTTTAGTCGCCAAAGAAACCTAGCTTTAACAACCATTTCTTTTTTTAAACCTTACTGTTCTCTCTCATTTCTTTTTAAATTATCTCTATTTTTTCTTTCTTTTTTCTTTTTAACAAGATGAATAGAAAATTATTCTAGATTATGGATAATCAATTTCACTTTTATTATCATTTCAGTTTATTTCTTTCATGACAGAATAGTACTTTCTCAAGTATCTTTGTTAATGTTCTCTCTTTCAAACTGTCAATAGTTCTTCTTTGTTGATTTTCATTGAAAGTAGTCTTCATTAGAAGCATCTATTACTATTACACGTCGTATCTTTTTTCACTCGGTTTTATAGTTCGCGCGTTCGACGTTAACACGAGAACGACTACTTTCAAGACAAAAGATGTTGGTGGATATGTCTTTGGTCAACCTTCAGCTGTTTTTAACTGTCATTGCCCCTCCACTATCAGCTGGCACCAAGAAAATGGCAGACGGTGTCTTCTCTGTCCTTATAATAGCGGTCTCAATGCGTCGGTGGTGACGCGACGTTCATTGCCAAATAGTCGAATGAATCGTATTGTACAATGGTTAACAAGAATGAACCAAAACATTTCTCATCAATTTGTCATTTACACTTGCTTTACTTGAAACATTGATCTCTACTTGCTAACATATTTCATTCATGTCAATGTATCCATTTGATTATTTTTAGAAGAAAGTAAGCATACGTAACAATTTGAATCATTCATTCATTCATTATTTGCCATTGATATTCAATAATGTATTTATAAATAATACATATATACTTTTTTTTTTTTTTTTTATTCATATCGATATTCACATATATCTCGATATAAATAATATAAATATATTTAACATTGTTTCGATCTAATTTTATAATACATTATCGATTGCATTCTATTACGGTAAAATATCTTCCGAGAAAGGCTTCGACTTTAACTCGTAACTTTCACTAAGTTTTTTACGGAACGATAAAGAAGAAGAAGAAGAAGAAGAAGAAGAAGAAGAAGAAGTAGAAGTAAAAGAATGAAAAAAACCTGTCTGGAAGTATTTTTGGAACGACGCGACGCAAAAATCTGAAATTCTTGTAAACCACTTTATTGCCTGTCACGGTTAGATCCAATTAACGTTTCCGGAATTGCATTCCTCCCTCGTTTACTCAAAATACGAAATAATGTTTTAACTAAGGTAGGTGTATGCGCCGATAATCGTATTGAAATCTTTCGATGATAAATAAACGATGAAAAATATCATAATGTAAATTTCGTATGTATTCAAAAAACATTATTATATTAATATCGAATAGAATAATTTCTTACGATCGTATTTATCTTTATACATATTTTTCATTAGTGTAACGCACGTAACGAGATTTAACTATTAATTTTGTTACAGTACATCAATTAAAGGAAGTTCAGGCTATAAAAAAGAAAAAAACAAAAAAAAAAACAACATTTTAATTGCGTTTCTCTCGCAAAGAGATACCATCGATAAATTTTACGTGCGTTCTTCTCGAATGTTTTTCACGTTAATCCGGTAGTACCATCTGTCGGCTTTCGTTTCGACGAGTTTGTTCCTACTTCTTGTACCATATTAGACACGCTTGCCTTGTTTTTCGAAACTAACGCGGATACAGAGAGTATGTTCTAGTAATTTCGCAAATCCTAAATACTAAAGTGCTTGAAACATACTCATACTAAAGATCTAATTCGCATTTGATCGTTATGTTAATATCGTACGGTTCATTTTACTCAATCAATCTAACAATAAATAAATGACTTTAATTTTGTTATAAAATTTATCGTTATAAAAGGATAAATTTAATTTTTAGAAACAGAAAAACCATGTAAAAGAGAATTATTCCTAATATAAATTTATAAATACTTCGAATTTACTCTCTCTCTCTCATTGTAGAAAGAAAAATTTTTTACGACTGTTATTTCGTCAAATAAAAATTATATAATAGGTTTTTAAATATCGATTATATTTCAAGTTGACGAGAAAAGAAACAGAAAGAGTCATTTTAAATTCAAATTAACGTATAACAAAGCGTGTAATATATTGAAAATTTAACGAGCAAAACGTTTAGTAGCGATTAAATTTTGATCGTTCAGTAGATAAATAAATTTATGGTCAGACGTATATACTTTCTCGTGTATCAAACACGTAGTAGACATAAATACTATATAGTTATTTCGAATCTGATTTAAAAGTACAATTGTCTTTCTGCATTTATTTTTTATTCTCATCGTTCTTTTACTATTATATTAATTTTAAATAATTTGAAATGATCGATTTTGAATAATACAATTATCATCACATCGAGACAATTTCTTTGACGAATGTTCGAAAGTTTGATATATAAATTATAACAATAACAAAAGTTAGCAATTAATATCGAACAATATGATCTCAATAACATGCATTCATATTCCTCTTTCTCTTCCCATTTTTTTTTGTCAAACCTAATTGATCATTTTGATCGAACTTACCAAGTTTATGGTTACGATGAGATCGTACTGTTGCCTCTGTCCTTTCTTTTTGTTCTTTCCTGTTTTAACGGAGGCAGCCTTAGGGGTTACTTTGACCTGTCCTTTTTGAGCAGATGGCTTCTGTGCTGGTTTCGACGCAACCTTGGCACCAGGAGCACCCTTTTGTCCACCAGCAAGCGGTGCCTTTTGACCCGCCGCACCTTTCTGATTTACGTGGCCTACTCCATCGGCTGGTTTGTTGCGTGCCTGATAGAAAAAAAAAAGTGTAACTGGTTAGTTGTTAACAATGATAAGAATTGAAGTACTTTAACAAAGATAACAAATCGTACGAGTTGAACCCGTATCATACAGTTTTTTCTTCGTACTCTTTCGAGAGTATAATTAAGCGTACACGATAAAAAAAATAAAAGTAAAAATGAATATATATATATATATATATATCGTTAGAATCATATGAGAATTTCTTTTTATCCATTTGAAACACCCTGCGACTATTTGGGACGCTGCTCGAGAAGCTCGAAAAGTAAATGAGACTTAACTTGATTATTTTATTAGAGTAGTTGCAATAGTCAAAATGAAATTTCATTTTCATTCGAGTGACGGGACGGTTAAAGCGGAAAAAAAGAAAGACAGAAAGAAAGGAAGGAAAGAAGGAAAAAAGAAAAAAAAAAAGACGGGAAATAGTTTCAAGAGAGAACGTGCGACGAGCTTAAAATTATCGGCTCGTAATTTTTGTTCTCTTAGGTGGTTACGAAAAAGATAAGATTTCGTGGTATTTTTTTCGTGTTCGCTCGAAATAATAATAATAATAATCCTCATATGCCGACGTTGTTTTATTGTCTTTCGTAAGAATAAGCTACAAAAAGATATTGGATGAAGTTCTTTTCCAACCAACAATATTTTACAAAGCTATATTTTACTCTTAAGAATTCGCGTAGCTTTATGATCCTGTTACACCGTTGCTCGTAAAATTTCCCGAAATATGCGCCCGCAGTTTCGTCAATCTTATTATTCTCGAATGAATCATCTTTACGAGCCGATGTCATCGTGTCGTTCCAAAACGACGATCTATCCGGAAACAGAAATCTAAACACAATCTAACATTGCGCACAAACGTTTATCTTTTAACAATTTTATCGTTTCCTACTGGCAGACTCGGATATCGTTCACCAAAACAAAACAAAAAATAATGTAAATACTTATTTTTTTGCAACGATTTACAACGACGTGTTTGATAAAGTATCTTTCATGGAAAGAGATGTTGTCGTGGTGGTTCTTCAATCTTTCATACGTTCAGATTCGAGACGGAAAATTTTTTTTGCTATTAGAAAAAAAAAAAAACCAAGGGTGGAACCAAAGGAAAAATCCGGGACAAAGGAAACAGTCGGTGCAAAAGAGGAAATGTAAAAGTAATCTTATTTTCTATTGTCAATAGAATCCTAGAAAGATACAAAAAGTGGGCCATCGTTGATCAGAAATCTTTTTCATCTCTTGCAAATCCCAGAAACGTTTTCTTCTTAACGATATTTCACGTTAAATTCCTTTCCTTTTTCTTTTTCTTTTTTTGTTTTTTTTTTTTTTTATTGTCAAAGAATCGAACTCGACAAAAATGTTTTCAAACGATCGTATACGAATCTCCTCCTCCCCCCCCCCCTCCACCCTCTCTCTCCCCAATGTAAATTTAATTTAACGAATAAATCAACCCGAGAACGATGGTTACAAGAACGGGATCTTTTTTTTAAATCAACGAACAGATTTTTCTTTTTAAAGATATGCAAAACGAATTTGTCAGTAGCTTTATCGAATATCACGTTATCTCGATAAATTCAAACCTTAACGATTTATTCCCGTAGATTTATAATGAATTTTTTCCTTTACAATGTTAAATTCAAGTTCTTTTCGTGGTCTATCGCAAAAACCGACTATATTCGAACAAGAATAAGGACGCTCAATATTTTCAATAAACTCATCATAGTGCTATCGAAGAAAATGTATAGGAAAGCTATTCCGCCTTCGAATAGATGAATTTCCTATACCATTTTACGTTATAACGGATGTATCGATACGGTCAGCAGATTGAAATTATCCGGCTTGTATTGGTTTTTTCCCTTATTCTCTCTTAAAAAAGAAAAAAAAAATATATGAATTCAGAATATTCGTCGCGAAACTAACATTAAGCGAAAAAATATTATTACCAGAGAAATAATAATAATAATAACGATTTTATTTCTCACAACTAATGAATTATTTGTTTTATCGTTTAAATTTGAACGGGCTTTTTGTTTCTTTTATTTTTTTTTTTTTTTTTTATTCTTTTCCTTTTTGTTCTTGCTGATATTCGTTTGCTTAGAAAAAAAATTATTCGAATAATACTTGACCCTTGTAAAATCTTTTTATATACACGCTTTACACGCGCGCACTACTCATAAATTCGATTTAGTGAAAGGTTAGAGAATCGATATTAAGCGTGTAACCATTTATAGGAAAGGAGACTATAGAAGCTTTAACGTTGTGGAAATATATTGAACGATCGTGTTTACGAACTAAAAACGCATTAACGAAATGAAAAATAAATAAATACTTGGATGCTTATGATAGAAAAGAAAAGAAAAAAAATAAATAGATAAAAAAAATTTAAGAAAAAGCTTACGAGTACAAACGAAAAAAATCGAATTCGAAAGTGAAATGCGTTTCCTTTGACCTCGTCATTTCCGTAGCATGAAAAACATAGTCTTTCTTATTCTCTTATAGTATTGCACCAACGGAAACGTGAAAAAGCTTCTCAACGAGTTCTCTTTTTTTTTCTCGTTCATATTTTCAGCGTAAAACGTGAGCACGTTTACAGGAAAAAAAATGCTCTCTGCAAACCGAATAAAAATTCGGGAAGCATGAAAATTCACGGAAGACAGGAATCTATGTACATATGTATGTATACATATATATATATATAATATATATATATGTTATAGGGAAAGTGGGAAATACAGGCATTGTACACAATACAAAACCGTTTTTGTCAATATAGAAAACAAAAGAATTGTTATCCATATCTTTTGTTACTTATCATAGCGGCATACACCTGCATTAAATTTCAGTTTATAGAGGTGCGCATAGTAGAATGACACGCATAGTTTCAAAAACCCTCTACATGTTCACTTTTGGGTGTGTGTTGTATGTGTATGTATGAGTGTGTGTGCCTGTTGCCCGATAATGTATTTTTCTCAACATTACTTAAAAAGTAATCTGATATTCTATAGGATACCAAAGTATTATGTACAATGCCTAGGAAAAGCTCACTTTCCCTATAACATATATATGAATGGATAAAAACAAGAATTTGTTCGCTTTAGTGAGACGAAAATGTCGTGAAATTCGCAAATGCTTGCGGTTTTAAAAGTGAAAAGAGAAGAAAGAGAGGTTAATTAGGCGAACCAGAAAGACCGATTGTCGTAGGAAAGATGATGTTTCGCGAGTTCGCCCTGGGACTCATCATTGTTTCTCAGTATACAGGTTAATGATGCTAAGAAATAATTTACGGTTTAACTCGCTTTGATGTTTCACCTTCAACGTTCTTCCCCTTTATTTCTATCCCATTCCACTAATAACGTTTTGTTATTATTCGATTCCATACCGTCGTCCTCTGCTAAAGTTTCTTTTTTTTTTTTTTTATTACTTTATTTTGCTTAACTACGTTTCGATGTAAAAAGAAATTCGAAACGAAAATATCAAAAGAACGGAGAAATAAAATAAATATAAAAAAAAGCAACAAGAGAGAGAGAGAGAGAGAGAGAGAAAGAGAGAGAGATGTATCAATTAAACGAATAAAATCGTTTCGAGACCCCCCCATTGGTGAATAGTTCAACGATGCGATTTCAATTTCGAAACTTTGGTTTGATTGAATACGAAGATTTGAAGTAACGAAAGGAACAGGAAGAAGTAGTAGAAGAAGATGGAAATGTGCGGAAATAGAGATGGGTTTTACAAAATCGTTTCCCTTTTCTACCATCGTTGTTATCTAGAAAGCAAGCTTGAACGATGAAAGACCTGGAAACTACTTCCTTCGTCCTGTAACTAAAACGACTCTTAGTTAGAGGTTCGTAGGATAAGCGAATATCCGAAAACCATGCAGATTCGTAGGTTTGAATATACGACGAGGAGAATGCGGACGTAGAGTAAATTGGAATTTGTTTTAACAAACTCCTTCTCCATCGATTCGATGAAAAGTCATGAATGAAGGAGATGACGGTACGATATCGTTGGAAAGAACTGGAAACGTGTAGGCAGCACACCTTTATCTCGAAATACTTTAGTTCTAATTTTAATTTTACTTCTTTTTTCTTTTCTTTTCTTTTCTTTTCTTTTCTTTTCAGACAGTAATGATAAGTAACAGAAGAATTTCTAACGTTGTATCTGTAGAATAAACAGATGAGATTTTAATATAAGAATTTGCGTGTTGGGAAAACGAACGCGAAGAAAGGATGAGGAAAATGGAAAAGTTAATCGTATTATTTTGATCAATAACGATTTATGATGGAATTCGTGATAAATATAGCATGCTTGAAAAATATCCAAGGTTTATTTAAATAATAACTTAGGAATGAGCTAGGAAGAGACAGGGAAATTTAAAAAACGAAAAAGAAAAAAACAAAAAGAGGGAGAGAGAGAGAGAGAGAGAGAGAGAGAGAGAGAGAGAGAGAGAGAGAGAGAGAGATATGGTATGTCTCGCGTGGGTAGATCCGTGAAGATAATTATAGCTCTTACCGTCTGCCACGTTCTTGGGTAAGACACCGCCATACACTGCGTACCCCGTGAGGAAACAAAATCTTGCCTTTTCGGTAAATGTGATTAATAAGACTAGCGAATCGATTCGATTCGATTTGTTTGAATTTGTTAGACGAGATAAGCAACCAGGAATTAATATTTATTAGCAATTCTTTTCGTTGATTATACTTTGTTATATGAATTTAAACGATAACGACAAGATTATAAATTACATGAGAATAATTCATTTTTGTTAATATGCATACGTAAGCCAATCGAATGAAATTTTAACGAAGTTTCTTTTTTTACTCTGCATTAAATTTTAATTAATTCGAATAAATACGTTATACGCAATTTTTTCTTTTGTGAATGACCATTTTTCAGATAACGTTGAAGTTAATTAAAGAAATTACATTACCAAATAGTAAATTATGTTTAATTATGAGTTGTTCGTGTTAAGTGATTGCAACTGATAGTTTGGACGGCTTGTTGCTGTTTTTTCGTATCGGATTAGAAATCAAAAAAGTGGAAGGTAAAAAAAAAGAAAACACGACATGGGCTTTACTAATTTGCCGACCTTGTTCTCTCATACGATCTCGCGCGAACACGTACATACTACCTAGAATATACATCTCATTAGTTGTACACGTGGAAAATTCTGGGCAGTTCCGTGGAAAGTTTCAACGTTGAGATTTATCGTAACGAGTTGTTTAATTAGAGGTTAATAGTTAACTCGAAACACGTTTATATCATGTTAATACAATTTTTTTTCCCCCTATCTCTCTTCCTTTTCTTTTTTATTTTCTTTTTTAATTCATTAGTCGAGTTTAGGTATTCTTTTTTTTCTAGAAACCGAATCAAGAGAATCTACGATATCGATTGGTAAATAATTAATGTAAATCTTTGATTCAGTTTACACCTATACGTTGCCAAATTTGTTGAAGATATCATCGAGCAACTAACGAAGAAATTCTTGCTTCCTTTATCTTGAAAAATTAAAAACGGTACGTATTTCTTGGCACGTATACACCAAAGATATAATTTCAATTCCATATAATTCGATCTAACAATTTTCTTGGATATCAATCTTAATTTATGTTATCGTATATAAAATGAACGTACGTTCATTAATATGATTAAAAATAAAAATCTTCGAAGAAAATAAATATTTTTCGTGATGGATATATACATATTACATATGGTTTACATAATAAGTGTGTAACAAAAGTCAATTATTTATCGATGATTTTTACTAATAAAAAACATTTGCGAGTTATTTAACGTAAGATTAGAAAGAATTTGGAGGATATTAAATTTCTTGCTAACCGATAAAAAAGAATCGTCGATACGTTTCATCGAGGGACGTGGTAGACCAATGGAAAGCAGCAGTATCATAGCCTGGAATGTTTTGAAATAGCACAAGTCCCCACTTCTTTCCTTCTCATATTTTCTCTCTCTCTCTCTCTCTCTTTCTTTCTCTGTTTCCCTTTACACAGTCACGACCGACTTCTACGAGCTTGCTTTTTAACATGAAATACTTTCATCGTTTTCCAACGCATTTTTATTCTCTGCTGAATCCTTAGGGAAATATTTAACGAAAAAAAAGAAAAGGACAAAAAAAGAATACTTACGAGTAAAGAACATACATATACTTTTATTTGATAGAATTTCGAAGATCTATTCAAAAAAAAAAAAAAGAACAAACCTTTCGAAGTAAGATAGAAGAAATATTAGCAATTCAAAAGAGATATCCCTTTAAGAGAGCACGGAATGAACTTATCGTAAGATTCCTTTTTCTTTTTTTTTTTTTCTTTTTTTTTTTATTCTTTTTCTATTACCTCTTCTTACCGAAGAGAATAGACCGAACGAGTGCCTCTGAGAAAATAACGTCGAATTCGTGACCCCTTCCGATTGGTTGAACAATTTCAGGATGAACTGTAGCATTATAGCAGCGGAGAAGAGAAGAGAAGAGAAGAGTGGCGTCAAGAGAAAACGAACGAAGAGAACTTGTTCGTTCGTTCGTTCTGGGGGAGGTATGGGGGAGTAGATTTCTGAGTTTACTCTTTCCACGTCGGAGCTTATAAAAGATATTCGGCACAGCTTGAACGTTTAGTGTTGGAACGAACGGCGAGAAGTGGCCAGGAATTGAAGTGAAGAAAAAGAAAAAGAAGAACAACAACAACAACAGGATAAGAAGAATAGATAACAAGATAATAATAAGAAGAAAGGAAAAAAAAAGAAAGAAACGAAAAGGTTTCCGAAACTTTGTCTTCCTTTCCTGGATCCTGACGAATAAAAAAGAAGAAACTGAAGGAGGATCAAGAAAAAAATAGGGAAGAACAAACTCGACAAAATGGTTGGTTCCTATGGTGGTTTCTCGTGCGTTGTTGTTGTGCATATAAGGATTGAATGAAAAACAAAAAGAAAAGAAAAAGAAAGAGAGAGGTGGGGAGGGGGTGGGGGGGTGTTAAGAGGAAAAAAAAAAAATAAGAAAAATATAAAAGCAAGGAGTATCGTTTTTTGGCAAAGTTCCGACGACCTATTGACGGGATACCTCTCATCATCATTTTTACAAACCTTTTCCATTTTTCTTCGGCCAAAAGGGAATTTATGTTATTCTATTTTTTTTTGTTTTTTTCTTTTTTTTTGGTTATTATTATACATACACATATGCATCGATCTATAATACGATTAGGATAACACGATCGATAGTGAATTCGTTCGAACAAATCGTACAGCCCAGTATTTTTGATAATAAACCATATATATNTTCTCGAGCAGCGTCCCAAATAGTCGCAGGGTGTTTCAAATGGATAAAAAGAAATTCTCATATGATTCTAACGATATATATATATATATATATATACGTATATGTATTCTCGGACTTTAAAGAACGCGAGTGGAATTGACAAAATTTGTCATCTCGTTAACACGAAAGAATTTTTGAAAGGTTTTCGTTCGATACTTTAGTGATTCGTTTGCGTGATTACTTTTTCAATTTCTTTCTTTATGTATTATATAATCTTTTGTTATCATTATTAATTCTAATTATCGTCATTAAAACGTCGTCATTCGTTTGATTTGTTTCAGGACGAGGAACAAGTACAAAGTAAGTGATAGTCGTGTGTTATGTTGGAAAATTTCTTAATCAAGTATGTTTTCACGAATTATCTAATTATTGAACAATTGTCTAAAATTCACGTAATTATGCACGCAAAAGAGAGAGAAAGAAAAAAGAAATATAGGTAAGGTAATACGATTTGATTAACGACAATCGAAAAACATTTTCGCGAAAATTCTGAAAGGATTATTAGTTATGATTGAAGAAGAGAAGAAAAAGGAAAGTTAAAGCACGTGCATACTATCTAATATATCTATCGTTTTTACGTCACAAGTACGTACCATCTATAGATCGGAATAAGGTAGCAAAATAGAGATATATAAATCATTCGTTTTATGTTACGAAATACGGAATTGCCGTGTTTTTAAATGACCAATCATCTTACAACGACTCACTGTTTCATTAAAATTTGTCATTGCGACATGCGAGCGTTTCCGGATGTGTTACATCCGCCATATGGAAACGTTCCTCTGGATTTCGTCAAAATATATTTTTAAACATATAGATTTAAATTAGTAAAAGTTATAAATTCACGATACTATTATAAATAAGTTATCATCAATTCACTTGATTTCTTGTTGTTGTTGTTAAAATATATATAGTTCACAAATATTAAAATAAAATAAATTAATTATATTATTATGTATCGTTGTTTTAGAAAAGAAAAAAAGAAACCAATATTAGATTCTCTAAAATTTTGTGATATATATTATACATATTGTATATGCATATATAAATAATATTTCGAGTAAAATTAAGCTTTTTTGAAAAAGTATTCACATAAAAGCTTAACGATAAACCGACAGATGAGTTGAAAAGGAAGAAGTTAGCTATGTCGAAGATGGTTGCCAATGAAAAATAAACTGTTGATTGACTCTGCCGCGTTATTTCGATACGCACGTTCCTGGCATAACCTATATATGTATAAACAAATTGTAAAAACGGCAATGACGTTTACGTTATAATTGGAATTAACTTAGTTTACCTTGCTGAGAAATAGAATTAAAAATAATCGTAATATTTGGAAACGTTTCTTATTTTTATTGAATTTTTCTTTTATTTTTGGTTTTTTTTTTTTTTATTCCTTTTTCAAAGAATTCGATTTTGATTACTTTCGCAGTGCTCAGGAGAGCTTTCTCTATGTTTGATTCCACTAAATCCGGCAGAATCGAAAAGGAAAAGGTCAGGACTATCTTAAATACTCTAGGACACACTTTTGACGACCATGAACTCGAAGTATTACTGAAACAGGAAGACGAAGACGGTAAGTATTCACATTTTCCATTGATATTTTTCTGATATTTTGAAAATCATTTCGCTCCTTCGATCAACAACAAAAAAGTACTAATAAAACATCGAATAATGTAAAATTGTTGATTTACTTTTTAAAATTCATACGATGATACTTGTATTCGACGTAAGAGAAGAAAATTCCCCCTTCGGTTTGCGGGAAAAAAAAAAGAAGAAAAGGAAGAAGTAAAAGAAGTTGTAAAAATAGAGTAGGACATTGCGATCGAACAGGGGAAATTATTAACAAACGAGAAACTCGTTACGAACTAGAAAAGTCGCTCGAACTTTGACGTAATTTATATCGTACTGTAAGATATTAATTAAGATTGTATCGTTGTGGAACGTTCGAGTAACACTTTGAAAGGGATTAGCGTTTTGTTCTCTATCTCTCTTTTTCTCACTCTCTCTCTCTCTCTCTATCTATTTCTCTTTGTACTTATAGCGAACAAAGTTACAGAACTGACCGATCTAGTTTTGTGATAAATATAATACAATATCACTCGCATTTACCCTATGACGATATTATTTTAATGAAAAAGTAAGGAAATATTATAAATTCGAGAAAGATCAAAACTTTTCGTTAATGTATATAATATGTATACGGTGTATATTCGAAATATTAATCTATAAGAATAAATCCAAATATTCGGTCTTTCACTGACAAATTTGATAGGTGTTGACAAGCAACCATGTGAATCTTGACATTTTTCAATTTCGATCTTCCATGGTAACATAAAATAACAAATACCAACAATAAAATAAAAATAAAAATAAAGGGTTCCAACAAAAATAACGAAATTGAAAGCTTTCAATTTATTTTGCATAGTTAGAAATTGTAGGTATGTCAAATCAGATTAAATTCTTTCTTCGTTTATCGATAGTTGCTCGTGTTAGTGATCGATTTATTTTGTTACAATCGAAAATGTTACGTCGAGAAGAGTATCGTATACAAAATTCTACGGATTTAAACTGTAGCGAATCGCCATCAAAATTCCTTTCTTTTTTCTATAGTCTTCCTTTTTTTCCTTTTTTTTTTTTTCTTTTCTTTTCTTTCTTTTCTTTTTTTGTAACAAACAATGGAACGGCTTTATCGGAGTTCGATGTCGCTTACGAACGAGACTCACAGGTGCTTAGCCATTGTAGCATGGCTCAGCTTCTAAATCGGCCCTTAAATTAGATTCGGTACTCTGAATTTCCTCGAAATCGAGACAATGCTGGTGCAACTCCTGCGTCCTTTATCCTTTCCAGGTGTATATAGGGAGTATTATCATGCAGATAGTGCCATTACTATCCGTTCACCGTCGCTTTCTATGTATTACACATGTATTGTTTACCGTATGAACATGTATAATGATTTCATCTTGAACGCGATTCTATCTTTATACATAATTGTGTTCGAGAAGGATATAATCTAATGTATTTATTCAATTAAATTGATGTATTAATATATGAAAACAATACGATTCAATCTTGACTAACTGATTTGAAATATTAATTAAACAAAATTTCAGTTGCTGAAGAAGTCCTAATAATAGGACGAAACGTTCAATGAGATTAAAACAAATGTTCTGAATTTCCCTTTTAAGATACGTTTATTAATAATATTATTTTTGTACGAGATAAACAAGTAATTGAATTAATTAAAAACTGAATCGTGTGTTTTTTTTTCTTTTTCTTTTGTAGGAAGCGGTAAATTGAATTTTGATTCGTTCTACCGGGTGGCAACGCATTTTCAAGAAGAAGACGACGAGGCCCTTCAAAAAGAACTCAAAGAAGCTTTCCGTTTATACGATAAAGAGGGTAACGGTTATATACCAACCAGTTCGCTTCGTGAAATCTTGGCAGCGTTAGACGATCAAATAACGCCTGATCAAATGGACGGCATGATCGCTGAAATCGATACCGACGGTTCCGGTACCGTAGACTTTGACGGTGAGTTTCTAGCTGTTTCAATTTATCTTATTTTATATCATCATAGCAATAAGATAGAACATAGACTGTAGTAGTATTAGAGTAATGACCAAGCAATATTTTATTTCATTAAAATTAAAAGCTACCACAAATTTAACGTTAATAACGAGAAGACCACTCGTACCATAAAGAACACATAGATATACCGTCTATATATGTATTCTACTACTACATCAGGTGTAAAAGCTAAAATTTTAATTACGCATAATATCTCTATCCTAAAGCTTTGCGCGAATGAAAGGAACTACTACTACCTACACTTCAACCTTTATTCACGCTTGGCTTTGTACGAATATTCCTCGTTTACCACGTTTTCCATATTATACGCGTGAATTTCTAAGTAGCTACAACGGACGTTTCAAATTAGACTGTTAACAACTTGTGAATTTGCAAAAATATATATATGCATAAATGAACATTTTTAAACATGAGATCTACTAGCAAAAGATTTCTACACCCTATTATTGTGTTAAAAAGTATATCAAAAGAAAAACGATAAGTTTATCTTCTATTAAAATTATATAAAAACACATGATAGAGCATGTTTATGAAAGAAACGAGTTCTTTTTTTAAATTTTAATTATCATATGAAAACATCAAAGCATTTTCTTGAAGTTTGTATCAGTATAAAATTATAGAATTCAAATCTCGATGCATAACTGCAATTCCATTTCCAATTATTTACTTCTATTATGTTAATATGAAATGATAAGAAAATAAAAATGCGTGTTCGTGTGTACGCGCGTATGTTAATTAGATAAAAAAAAAAAAGAAAAGAAATAAAAATGTCTTTTGCGTATAACGAAGCTCATAAAAGAAAATCAATAAATGACGGAAGTCTCGTTAAAAGTTATAGAAACGGAAATATGCTCGATTTACTCGAAATCGATTGAACGTTATTCGCTTTTTAACTTTCCTTCCATTTCTCTTCTAAAGTTTGGTCACGCGAAATTCTTTTATATTTCGGAAAGATGCAACTTTGAATTTTCAAGATTTAGATATTCAAGAATATTTGTCTATAGAAAATTATATGTTCAGAGATTTCCAACAAATTTGATAGTCGACTTAAAACACGTTCAATTTTTCCTCGCTCGTAACATATGTTAAGAAAATTTCGTATTACCATAATAAAAATAAAATAATTATGCGTAAATACGATTTCTAAGCATTTCTATTACACTCTAGCAATGAATGCAATCAAAATATTTAATTGACCTTTTATTGAAAAAATAAACAATAAGACGGATTCTTCTTTATAGTCGGTTGTGTTTTACGTATCTGGAGCAGAACGTAATCATTAATAATTTACAATCCGAGAGAATAACGAGTAGTAATAGACCATTTATGATTGGACACGTTACGAAGAAGAATAATAAAGGGTTATTCGTGATCGATTCGAATGTTGCGAAGCGATATAATGATGAAAAATTATTGACCATAGTATCTATTGACGATCGTAAACGAAGTAAAGATATTGCGAAGTAGTAATGGATGTAAAATGATATTAGACTCGGTGGTCCTCGATAAATCGAAAGTAGTAACAGAGATATTATTATCATACATAGAAATCATTTATCTAGAAAACAAAATTTTACATTATACGTATTAAATAATAAATTTGATTCGATTTCTTTTCTTTTTTTTTTTTTACAGAATTTATGGAGATGATGACTGGCGATTGAGACGAGCAAGGAAAGAAGATCTCTCTCTCGAAGGATTATATTTTAAATGAAATTATTAAAGCTGTGCCTTTTTTTAACAAACGCAAATCAATATTGCCTATATTTCAATATGTTATTTATTTATTGCACTTAAAATTTGGCGCTTCCGTATCGACCTCTATACGATTATTGTTAAATTAATTTTAGGATGCATTTAAATAATATATATGTATGTGTGTGCGTGTGTGTGTATGCATGCTTAAGCGTAGGACCGTATCCTCGCATAGATGCAATAATAATGTACGATAGTATTTTATGAAAAAACAAGAAAAACGAAAAAATAAAATGTAGTGAACGCATTCGAACGAATCGAAATAGAAAGCTCTCTCTTTTTATCTCTTTCTCTTCAATAAATTAAATCTTTTGTTTATAATTAACGAAGGATATGCGTTTCTAACGCATTTATTAATGCTTAACGTTAAAGAGTATAAAGTTTAAATATAAAAATATTATTTTATATCGACGATATATATTGCAAATACTTTCAATGAAAAGATCTCGTTGTTTTATTCATCGACTAGTGCTACGTTCGCACATAACACGGCCATTTAATATCCGTTTGCTACAACATTAATTAATGGGACCATGTTAATCATTGTCGATGATAAAGCAAGTCGTAACAGAGCAACGTGGCATCGTTGTAAGTTATGGAGCATACCGATAGTGAACATTAGTCATCCACATGCTTAATGAATCGATAACCATACTCGCTAGTTTCCTCTTGCTCTTATCATTTTGGAGCCTCTTTACTATCGTATTAATTAGAAAAAAAAGATTTAAAAAAGGAATAAAACAAAATATGACATTCCTAAATTTCATGATTTGTTATTACATTATTATTAAGTATTGTTGACGTTGGAAAGATGAGATTTAGTTTGCGGGATGACCAAAAGAATACTCATCAGTGGTTTTCTATTTATAAAATTACTTGGACAGTTTCATTTTGTTTTGTTATACACGGATAGTTTTGATTTTAGAAACTTCCACTTTCAATAGACTACTACGTTAAAGTTCGTAATTCATAGTTAAATTTACATAGACTAATTCGTAAACGCTAAGGAATATTATCATTTAGGTTATTAGATAAAACTAAAATTTTGATTGCAATCAATTTGATGCTATTATATCTCTCGGATTGTTTCATTACATTCAAACGGATAAACAATTAGATTTCAGAGCGAGAAAAACTACGCGTCAAATGAATTTTATTTTATTAAATGCTCCTTTATATTATCCTTTAATATATTTATTGCATTTGCAATATATATATATATATATATATATATGTTACCGTGAAAGACCGAAATTGGAGAATGTCAAGATTCAAAATGGTGAAATGTCAACACATACAAATACGTATACGGTGATAGAACGAATATTGAGTTTATTCTTATACATTAATATTTCGGACATATACTAAACGACTATGTGAATCTTGACATTTTTCAATTTCGATCTTACATGGCAACATATATATATATATAAGTTCGTGCACAAAAAATAAGAGAAACCTAAACAAAAAGGTCAAGAAAATCGATAACATTTGAGAAGGTGGTGGGGAGTATAGTTTAATTTCTTTCTCCTAAAGCTTAGAAACGTTAAAGGATCGTTTGCAATAACATGGTACCCTAAACATCTCCGATATCTAACTACTACGAACATGGAAGTGGTAGGAGGGCATACATGGTCGCTTACGTAATAGGGTGAAGCAATTTCGAGGGAGACTCTCCACGTGAGATATTTGTTTCCGCGTTAGAGAGAATAGCTAAAGGGGAAAGAGGAATAGGCTGTCCGTAGCGTGGCTTCTGTGGCCGATTAGACATCTTTTCAACCCTCGGATACAACACCGAAGGTCTCGCTACGATTCTGAGACCCATAAATCTGAACGAGCCTATCAAGGTCATGTTTAATAAGTTAAACGTATCATCGCGAACGATAACACACATGTATCTTTCTCTAATGATTCTTTGTATTACTCTTTAATTGTTTCCTTTTCCTTTCTTATTTTCCCATTTGTCTTTGTTTTCAGGCAGAAATGACGTCAAGAAAAAAAAAAAAAGAAGTGAAGTAGAACTTTTTTTCGTAGTAGTTATGTTATTTTCATCGAATTTTTTCTTTCTCGATGCACGAACTCGTCTCGCTTCCCGAATGAACTACTTTTCTTTTTCTGTATATGAGTTAGAAAGGGAAAGAAAGAAAGAAAGAGGGAGAGAGAGAGAGGAGGAGGAGGAGGAGGAGAGAAAGAAAGAAAGAAAGATTCAGAAACCCCGGGAAGTTTCTAGAAACGGGAATCCTTCGTAGCTCGCCCCTCCTATGACCCACTCAAATTTTGTCTGAGTGTTTGCGAGGGAGACCCGGTAGTCGGTTCTTAAGGATCAATAATTGGGGCCGACTGCAACCCGCCCTTGAAAAGCTACACTCGAACGACAGAAACAGGAAGGACCCACGCGTTTTCTTATTTGAAAAATGCATGATAATCGAGTACTATATAAACACTATTATATACGATCATCGATTTTTACGATAGATATGTATTTTATCGTACAATATTGAAAAATTTTCTCTTTCAGTCATTACTTCTTCTGTCAACATGGACAATTTTGATAAATAATAGTCGAACAATGAAAAATGATAAAAACACGAAGAGCGTAGATATTTTCATTTTGTTTTATTTCTTTTGTTTTTTTATTAAAAATAAATCTTCTTTTCTCACGTAATATATTATTTTACGTGATAATATTATAAACGCGATCTCGGAACATTTACTTTTATGATATTACATGTACATCGATCAAAATGAAGTTAATTGCGTTAAGAATAATTAACAACGATGCAAATGACATCGATAAAGTTCACGAAGTTTTCCTTCTGCGATGACACCGGGGACCGTATGACACACGAAAATTAATGACACCAGTCTCGAACATTAGACATGTTCATCGACCAGATCGATAAACGTGAAACGAACGGATGGCCCTTTTAACGATTTAACGTAGTAGAATCTCTCCCCCTCCTCCCTTTCCCTCTTTTCATTTAAAATATTTTGTATTTAATGAAATAATAAAAAAAATAGGATAGAACATAACGCGTATCGGCGGACATATTATTTAGTTTATTCGTAGGAACGACGATTATGGTTTTGACCCGATTCCTAAATGTTCCACATATCATCGTTGTACACTAAGGCAAGTTTTCTCGCCACACTAGATAAACCCACACGTCATATGCCAACGTCGCTTTTATCTATCGCATTATTCAGAATCGCGACGTGAAATTTTCCTTTTATGGTACTTCTGCGACAAATATGTACATTCTTCTAGCCGATAACAACTTTTCACAAAAGAGTAAGTCTTCCTTTCTTATTCTTGTATATAGGTTAACGCCGATAGTTTTTACAATATAAATACTAAAATCACACAACGAAAACTATACATTATGAAATATTGCTAGCTAATATTCGAGTAATACTTGTTGATTCGTTAATAGAATATACACTGAACTAACTATCCTATAATACATATATATATATATACATTTATCCTTATCTACTTTCTTGATTGATTATTTAACAAAATGATTATTAAGACTTACTAATAAAAACATCGAGCAATCGATTGATTAATCGATACATTCCTCACTCTTTCTCTTTCTCTTTCTTTCTGTCTCCCTCTTTAAATGAAAAAAACTTGAAAAGAAATATAAAGAAGGTTGGTAATCGGCAATCGAAGAGACTGCCCTTGGAACGTGTCAGTGCACCTGTGGGGCATGCCCTGGAAACAGCTGTACTGGATTAATAATTGAAGAAATGGGACTCGATCGTTGATGGCGGTAACGGTTGGCTTTAAAAAGTGGAAAAAGGTTGTCTAAGAGAACGGTTCTCAAATTGTTATTAATTTATATATCCAAATAATTACGAATTATTGTTGATCTTGTGTGACGAATTTGTTTTTTATCTTAATTATATCTATCAAATATTAATAATATTAACAATATAACACATTGATAGATATTATTTAAACGAACTCGTTGAACTTTTCTGAAATAATCAGTAGATATATTTTCAAGATTTTTTCAAGCACATTTTGAGAACCACTGCTGTCTGAGGTGTAGCACCGGGGCATCGATCGCGTTCCCGTTCTTCGGCCGAAGCTCCGAAACGAATGAATTTCGCTTGCCCTTTTTTTACTTCACACCCTTTTGATGGTGGTCCATCGGACGGTTTCGAGTGAAAGAAGTCACTCACAGCCGTGTCTCTTTCTTTCTTCCACACTCTCTCTCTCTCTCTCTCTTTCTTTATTTCTTTGACGCTCGTTCTTCTCTCTTATATCGTTTTTGTATCTCCAGGACTTGTACTCGTCAGAAGAGTACTTTAAACGAGTCAAACGCGATCGTTTCCGACGCGCGTCTTTCTATCCTTTTATTTGCAAAGTACTATTACTCAAGTACTACTTTATGGTGCGAAAACTGGACCCGTTCCGAATGTAAGGAGACCTTCCGATTGCACAACCCTCGACAGAAACTTTATCTTACGTTTTTTCGTTAACAAGCTCTCTTTCTCTCTCTCTCTCTCTCTCTCTCTCTCGACAACCGAACTCGTTCTCGAGTTCCGATTTACTTCCTTATCCCGAAGTTAAGTTAAACCACTTTATTTATTCTTTTTGTTATACTTTCTTCTTCTGTTCTTTCTTTCTCTCTCTCCCACTCTTTATCTCTATCTCTATCTTTCGTATTCTCTATTCTAGTAAATTGCAGAAAACTGTATGCGGTTTAATTAGACTCAGTCAAGTTTAGGGGCTAGATAAATAAATGAAGAAGAGATCAACGATCGTGAAGGAAGAATTTTAACGAGTTGATTTCACGTTCGGAAGGAATAACGATGTTCGCTTCGTTAATTTCGTTGATTGGTCACGGGCTTTCTCGAATTTTGTCACAATTTTACTCGAGAGTTATCTATTCGACTTCGTAAAAGGGAGAACCTTTGAAGTGTCTGAAAGTTTTTAAGAAGACACGACACGAGTTGAGGAAAAACGAACATCGTGATATGAAAGATGGCCCGGTTTAGTCGCCAGACTTTATGAAAAATGTCTCTAAAAAAGGGAAGAAGGATAAGTAACGCGAAAGATCTACGCCTGAGGAACTTTTTCAAAGTGCGGACCGTGTAATTACTGCGAACTACTTGAGGTTTTTGCCACGTACGATATTCCTATATTTTTTTTTTTGTACTTTCTTCTTCTGCTTCTTCTTCCTTTTTCTCTTTTTTTCATTTTACGAGTTCTACGAGTATTTATAAATATACGTTTATACGTTGTTTAATAACGTTTGTTAAAAATAAAGTTCGATATCTTTTCCACATATTTTCTATTAATTAGCCGTTTTAATTTATATTGACGGTATAGTCATTACGCGATTTTCTTTGAATACTTACTTCGTTTCACATTCGGTTCAACGATGATTGCTAAAATTATAGTCGATAGATAAAAGAAAATAATTATAAGAAGTTTATTAAGAGAGATATGTAAGTAAGTGGATATTTAACCTAACATATTTAAGAAACACACAAGCGTTATTAAGTAGTAAAGGTCATGCAATACTACAGGTTTCGTTCACTACCAGACGTATAATCTAATATAATATAGAAAGTAGAAGAAGTGTGGATATGCCATGCTTCTTTTTCTATTTATATATATATATATATATATATACCTAAATGTATGTAGATTTACGCAAGTAGAAGTCATCAGCATGCATATGTACCATGTACGTGACCGTGTATTACGAGATCGCAGCATTTTTTGGAAGAAAATACAAAAATTTTATATTGTCATTTTAATCGTGATCGACAATACTGTAGAATACTATGATTATTCCTTATTATCACAATCCTACTGTGTATAACGTATATTAGTGTTGCAAAAATCTGTAATGTTGAACTTTCTAAATCAACTGTATGCATGTATTAAATATAACATATGTTAATGTATAATATAGTATATGTATACATGTTTATAATTGTTTATGCTTGTGTTCTACTGCTCTACGATAAGACTGTCTATTATCTAAAAGTCTAGCTATGTTTCAGCTAAATAGCTAGTTCTAAGATTTTAGCTATATGTGGATTATGTCATTTTAGTATGTACCTGGCTCAGGCTTCTAAAGCTACTTGTACTGGCGCTGCGGGCCTGCAAACACAAGTACAGTACAGGTCACCAATCACCACAACACTGCAGTTGGAAAAGTACAAATAGACATATAGTATAGATACATAGTGTAGATAGATAGATAGTTAGGTAAGTAGATAGATAGACGAATGGGTAGATAGATAGATAGATAGATAGGTAGAATACTAAATGAGTAGATAGATACAAATAACACAAATACGTAATAGTATGTATAGTTAAAGAAGGAATTATGAATAGAGAACGTAGGGCGATTATGCACGGGGTTTACTATTTAGCAATCTGTATAAAAAAATAATGAGTTAAATAATATGTAACATATAGAAATATGTATTATACATATATAAGAATATACATATTATTTAACTCTTTATCTATTATAATATATATATACCTACACATATCGAGAACGTACACGTTAATAGAAAATGAAATTGTTTTTTTTTTAACAATTGTTTCGTCTTGACTCTATAAAAAACTTTCATAATAAAAATGATTTTTTAGAGAAATATTGCATAAACAAAACAAAAAAAAATGTATTCGTTAACGTGATTTCAAAGATATTTTCACTTTTGGCAAGGTAGAGTTCCCAAGCAGGAAAAGCTTTCCGTATCGCCAAGACCAAACATGAAAACCGAACTCGTGGTACTTGTTAGATTCCAAGTATATTGTATCACGTAAACATAGGCACATATATAGCACTGCACATTGAACATATACCACAACATACGCATAGAGCTCTCAGCGTTGGACAGTTTTATGAGTCAGTTTTCGTGTTAACATTGTTTTGTTATGTAAGTCCATCGTTTATAACATTTGTACAAATAAAGCACTTATTACTAAATGCAAACTTATTTTCATGTATTATTGTATTTCGGTAGTTGTAATGTATATTTTTATTTTTGTATAATGATTACCATAATTTCGTTAAAACCAAATTATTCTGAAATAGTTTCGTAAATATTTCATTACTGCATCATATTAAAATATACGTAGGAAAATTGAAATTCTATTGGCATATATGATCACATTGTTAAATCAATTTCACATGATTTTAATGCTTTCCACGTTCTAAACCAATGAAGAGGATAGTTGGGCGATGAGTTAAACATAATGAAATTTATTTATTCCATTCACGCGCTATATGAATACGAATTGTTACGATGTAAAGAATTTTCATAGAAAAATTCGTTTAATAAACCCTCAACAGCTATTAAAAGGTTGTTCCTAAAATACAAAATTATTAAATAGTATCTTCAATGAAAAATCGTTATATTATCACTGATCGCAACACACTCAATCTATTATATAATATCTTATATTTTTTGTGATTCATTTTTTGTAGGACTTTGCACTTGCTTCGTGACGATGCAATTCATGGATCTCATAATAATCACTCGTTTCTTTTTCCTTAAATTAAAAAAAGTAATGATAATGAAACACCATAATATATAGACACGAGTGCTTTAAAAATTTTAAACCTATTGTGAAATCTATATCCTTTCGATTAGGAAACAATTAAGAATTATGCTTGTGTTAAGTTGAAATCTTTAAATTTTGCGAATTAAAAGAACAAGAAAATAAAAAGAGACTGATTGAAATGAATAGAATTATGTATAAGGGAATACATTTGATGCTCATCTTAACATGAAGTCGCCACTTATCGTCTAATTACTCAGACTATATGATAAGAAGACGTTTCACGAAACGTTGTGAGAAATAAATGAATTATATACGAAATGATGGGAAAGTATGTTCCCAAGGCTACTTACTATTAGATGTTCTTCTTCTTCTTCTTTTCTTCTTCTTCTTATTTGACAAACTTTCGTTAAATGACGTCAAAAGGATTTGAAAAAGAGATCAAGAAATATAAGATACTTTCTAATTCTTTCTCTTTCGCTCTCTCATTAGGTTTCTTTTGAAAATGAGAAAGATTATTCTTAGATATCCTAAATTAGCGAAAACGAGCAAACGGAAGTCGTAAAAGTTGTATCAAGTAAAATTGCCAGATGAATTTAATGCTTAATTCATTTCATGGAAATTCTCGGGAGATATTTCGAGTCACTTTCGTAAGCTAATTTCAAATGAAATCTTTCTGAAAATTCTATACATGTTGTATACATAGATAGTATATATATTTTGAAATAATTCTTTTATTGTTCAAGGTAGATTGCACTGGAAATATTCTGCAATTATATTTATTACATCTAAAGAATATCTCGTTTATATATATATATATATATATATATAAATAGAAAAAGAAGCATGGCATATCCACACTTCTTCTACTTTCTATATTATATTAGATTATACGTCTGGTAGTGAACGAAACCTGTAGTATTGCATGACCTTTACTACTTAATAACGCTTGTGTGTTTCTTAAATATGTTAGGTTAAATATCCACTTACTTACATATCTCTCTTAATAAACTTCTTATAATTATTTTCTTTTATCTATCGACTATAATTTTAGCAATCATCGTTGAACCGAATGTGAAACGAAGTAAGTATTCAAAGAAAATCGCGTAATGACTATACCGTCAATATAAATTAAAACGGCTAATTAATAGAAAATATGTGGAAAAGATATCGAACTTTATTTTTAACAAACGTTATTAAACAACGTATAAACGTATATTTATAAATACTCGTAGAACTCGTAAAATGAAAAAAAGAGAAAAAGGAAGAAGAAGCAGAAGAAGAAAGTACAAAAAAAAAAATATAGGAATATCGTACGTGGCAAAAACCTCAAGTAGTTCGCAGTAATTACACGGTCCGCACTTTGAAAAAGTTCCTCAGGCGTAGATCTTTCGCGTTACTTATCCTTCTTCCCTTTTTTAGAGACATTTTTCATAAAGTCTGGCGACTAAACCGGGCCATCTTTCATATCACGATGTTCGTTTTTCCTCAACTCGTGTCGTGTCTTCTTAAAAACTTTCAGACACTTCAAAGGTTCTCCCTTTTACGAAGTCGAATAGATAACTCTCGAGTAAAATTGTGACAAAATTCGAGAAAGCCCGTGACCAATCAACGAAATTAACGAAGCGAACATCGTTATTCCTTCCGAACGTGAAATCAACTCGTTAAAATTCTTCCTTCACGATCGTTGATCTCTTCTTCATTTATTTATCTAGCCCCTAAACTTGACTGAGTCTAATTAAACCGCATACAGTTTTCTGCAATTTACTAGAATAGAGAATACGAAAGATAGAGATAGAGATAAAGAGTGGGAGAGAGAGAAAGAAAGAACAGAAGAAGAAAGTATAACAAAAAGAATAAATAAAGTGGTTTAACTTAACTTCGGGATAAGGAAGTAAATCGGAACTCGAGAACGAGTTCGGTTGTCGAGAGAGAGAGAGAGAGAGAGAGAGAGANAAACACAAAAACTAATAGGAAGCAAGGAGAAAAAAAGAGGGAAAGAAATATTAACGCAAAAAATATAAAGAAATATATCAATAGGTTTATTGCTTATATATTGATTTCCGATAATACTTATATACTGCGTCGTTGTAAAAAAAGAAAATTTCTCGTCAATGCACTCTCGTACTTTTCAAGTAACCTTTTTCGTTTCGGTACCTCTACGATTATCTATTCGTTAAATCGGTAGTGGAGGGGATTTTCCTTCTAAAATTACTAAAGAATCGAAAGCACTGTATAAACATGCTGGTGAGTGAGTTTTCCTCGTGCAAGAAAAATAAAAAGTAAAGCAGAAAGCGAGAAAGTGTGGTATCACGCGTGTAGTTTGGAAGAAAGTGCTTAAAAAAAAAAAAATAAAAATGAAAAGAAAAAAATTAACATTCGAAGAATTCGAGCAAGGCTCCCTTTTTTTCAAATCGCAGCCTCGAGAGTTCGAGTATATAAGACCACTTGAATTCACGAATCATTAAAATTTTAGCCGGCCGGAAAAGATTCGCTAATTGGATGCTTTTCGTGTTAGCTCGTACAAACAACTCTACTCGAAAATACACAGCGATTTCGGTTTTATTTAGGTTCTACCAAAGTCCTATGTCTCGTGTTAGTTTATATTTCGATAACTAGACTATATACGATAATTGAGAACGAAATTCTAAATATTAATCGGATAATAAGTGTTTAAAATCATTGACAAATGAATATTTTTAATATTTGCAATCGCTAATAATTCTTAAGCACATTTAATTCGATCAATTAAATATATTTTACATCTGTTAACGAAATAACAAAATAAATAATATTATAAATTACGATAAACGTGAGAAAAATATTCCTATAGAAAATATTATATATATTATTCTTATACATATCGGAGAAAAGATTTCCAAGTCTTATATTTGTTATGATTAACAAGCTCATTCCTTGAAATTACCATTATACGTTTCGTAAAAGATGATTTCGTGTGAAATCACTGCAGACGCAACCCCCCACCCCTTCCAAAAGTGGAAACGTTAATGGTTGGTAATATTTCTGTGGTATCTCCAATTATGGAAATTGTTCTGTACAAATTTTAGCCCAATCCGCACGATTTCTACTTAAATTTGTTTTTCTTTTTATCCCCCCCCCCTCCCATTTACCTAAACTCGAATGATCCTCTTTTTTCCTACTTCTCTCTCTCTCTCTCTTTCTCTCTTTTAAGTTTTCATTTTCTTCCAAGTAACACGCGATACCGCAACTCACGCGATTGAGGAAACCAAGTTTGCCTTTTTGCGAGGTGCAAAACCGAACAAGACGGCAAAGTATCTTCACAACTTTTAACTTGATAGGTAAAAAGTACAAGAAATGGAGAATGAGTGAGTGAGAAGAAGAAATAAAAGAGATGAAGTGAATTCCAATCTCCTTGAATTTTGTTTTTCATATTTTTCATCCGACGACAACACACAAAAAAAGTCTGGAATTTTCCGATATAAATGAAACTCTCAATTATTTTACTTATCTCCTTTTCCCCACACCCCTGGAAAGAAATATTCATGCAATAATAATAACGCTATGTATTCATAAATTTTTTTACGATAACTTTATTGAAAGGAAAAAAAAAAAATTTGAAAAAAAAAATGAATTTTGTTCTTGATTATAAAATAAAAAGAAGAAAGAGAAAAAACGATCTCCTTCGTGGATCTTATTACATTTTTAAATTAATTTACTTCTTGTTATTTTCTTGAATAGAAGATAATAATTCGTTCGTAAAATTTCTAAATGTAGTAATTATGTATGTATGTATGTATGTATGTATGTAATATTCGTTAACTCGTTAGAAGAGCATTCAAATTGCTAGTTAATATTAAAAAAAAAGAAAAAGAAAAATAAAGATGAACAAAAAAAAACATCCGAAAAATCGAGCTTAAATTTCAAATATTTAAGAGAAACGATAAAGGTGGTGACAGTCATTTTTAACAAGACTATCGATTGTACGTTTATCGATATGTTATCACTACATTGAAAACAACAGAGACCTTTTACATTTACGAGCGTGAGAGAAGAGATGTAGTAAATATATATATATAAATGTATATTATACATAAACAGGTAGAAAGAAAAAGGGAGGGAGAGGGAAAGAGAGAGAGAGAGAGAGAGAGAGAGAGAGAGAGAGAAAGAGAGATGATTTTCCGCAGTACTGGATCGACTAGGGGCCAAAGTAAAAGTCCCAGGAGAAGCGTTACAAGCACGGATTCGGTTTAAATGGAAGATTCGTTGGTTCGAGGAGAACCTCCTGAAATTTTTAACAAGGTGCTACCTAAAACGTGCTGGGAATTCTTGGGAAAAACGGTTATCCTGGTTTCGTGTGCCATTTCTATATGTAAGTACCATATATATATATAAATATATACATGTGTATATACATTAGGGTGGTCCTTATTTACATCATTTTGAAATTTTTGTTTCCCGCCCCCTAAATATCTTCTAAATGTATAAAAAAAAAATTCCTGTAAATTTTGAGCTCTCGAATGCACTTATATTTTCTTGAAAATATCAAAAAATACAATATTTAGGATGAAAGAAATCGTTTCTCGGAAATGCATTTTTGTTTGTTTAGGTACGCGATACCGCTTGAAAGAATCGGTGGCGAATATTTTGGATGCGTGGGTCAAATTCGGCTTATCATCCCTTGCCACGCTAATTCGTGGTTCAATATTCGAGCGAGGTGACGTTGTAAGGGGGATCAACTTTGGAAACTGAAAAGACATTTCATTTCCAAGCTTATTTCTCTCTATGCGTCGATTTTACAAAATTCATTCACAAAAAAAACAATTTTTCACACGAATATGTTGATATAAACATCCTTAAAAAAGCATTCATTATTCAAGTTTCTTCATTGATTGAAAATTATTTTGGTAAACATTTTCATACATTTCATATAATATTTTCAATTTCTAATGTCAGATCATTATCAAAGCGTAGGTCAGTGTCTGACTCCCGAGTCATAGGTTTGCCATCCTTGATCTATATATTTTATGCTCGCTAATGGTCGAGAAATTTCGAGAAACGCAGAAGAAAATATAAAAGAGAAGCGATCCGTAATTAATCAGTTCAGCTTAGTTCGAATCAGCGTTAGTTAATAAATGGTAAGCTAATAGATGATGTGTAACATTATATCTGTGTTATCTAAATAAAATGACTTTCATTTATTATTCACTATCACACTTTTGCTATATCTCTTTAAATAGGATCCATAATTTCTCAATCTCATTATCGACGATCTGAATCTAACCATAAACTTTCGTAGTTCTGGATTAAACGAAGACATTATTATAAATCGTAAGTAATCTTGTATTAGTCGATACCGATGAAAACCTTTAAACCAATTATTCGAGTTCTATGAGAACTAATTAAACTGAAAATATAGATTTAATATGTACTTAAAGAAAACCATCCGTATAATATAAAATACATAATATATGTATACCTAAGAAGGCCTTTTTCTTTTTTCATAATTTTTAAATCTTAAATTTGTAGTCAGGAAGAGTACTCAAATATCCGGTTTTTCTTCATCTTACTTAAACACTTACATCTTACTATCAATAGCTTTCTAAGCACAAATTTAAGTAATCATAACAGTATAAGATTTTAAGGGATATTGACTTTACATAGATTCATAAAGTGCAAAGGCTTAAAATTACTATCATGTTTTTTTATATTATTGCGAATACATTATACGTATATTGTAATATAATTAATAAATAATATTAAAAATAAATAAATATATATGAATAGATAAAGAAGAGTATCACGTAAATGAATCTTAAACCATAATCGTTTTACGCGATAGTCAGAATTACGAGATATTATTTTTTTAGTTAAGATATCACTTTAAATGGTATTTAGCTCAAGGCTACTTTCATTGTAACGAAACTCCAATTTTTCTCGCTATTGTTATTACTGCTACTGTGTTACTTGGTGTATATGAATTGTGCGTACGCGTATATGAAATTTTCTTTCTTTGCATATTTTCTCTTTTACGATAAAAAAAAACAAGAAAGCATACTCGTATTCATATAAACAGTATAACTTATATCACCGTCATGACATAGAAATTAAGGTTTAGAATGTTTCAGAATTATCTCTAATCGTAAAGGGAAAACATAGAAATAAAAGAAAGGAAAAAGAAAAAAAAACCGATGTAGATAAAAACGACAGAAAAACGAACTTCGCAAGGTTGATGTTCTGACGTAAAAAATTCGTTTCGTGTCACGCACCGTCGTATCGATTATCAAACGTTAAACAAGAAATTTGTTGAAAAAAATTCTTCTTATACAAGCAAAATACTAGACAACGCACGCGTAAAAAGCAAAGTAACAAATTTATGAAAAATATTTGATTGCGAAGAAAATAAATGACATAGGAAAGATTAAACCGTTCCGAATTAATCGTCACACTTTCGAACAAAGTAAATACTCGTTGATTGATAGTTTTTGATACCGAGTGTGCGATCAGCGATCAGTTTTTTATTATTTTAATGCTCCATAGTGTACGAGATTAATCATCTATTACCAAAATTAATGTGATAGATATACGATTATCTTTTCTCTTACATTTTTAATCTAAACGAAATACAACGGTTTGTTTATTAAATTTTCAAATACCACTGTCGTCGTCGCCTATAAAAAAGATTAGTCTCTTCCAATGATGATGAAAAATACCTAAGTAATTTAAATATTAATTGTTTGCATTAGCTATAAGGTATTAATCGTGTAGATAAGTGATATTACTTAATGAGTTCTTAATTAACGACTTTACCTTGCTTCTGTTACGCGGTGCGAAGTCCTCTTTGCTGGCCTTCCGCCGCTTGTCCTTGAGGATCATTCTTGCTGCGGCGAACGCCATCTTGTCGTGTCTTCACCCCTCTTTTTTTGTTTTTCTTAATGTTTGTTCTTAATTTTATTTCACACCGAAATCGAGATTCCCAAAAAATATAAGTAGAACCAGCGTCGTTTAGCCGAGGAAGAACACACTGGTTATTAATATCCTCGATTTTTCACCGAACACGTTGTTGTTCTTCTTCTTATTAATTTTTCTTAAACGGTAAAGAAGACGAATAGAAAGACTGAACTTGTTTATTGCTAATTTAACAACACGAAATAATATGCGCCAATTTATTGCCAGTATTACGTATCACACATGCGTTACCGTATTTATATATACATGCACATATTTTGCATGTAACAATCGATAATCGATAATCGCATCTATTCGGAAATGAAAAAAAGAATACACGAAACACGAATTGTTAATTTTAACTTTGATTACAAGAGATCACACCCTCTTGCAACATTTTTATTATACTTTTTTAAGATTTTCTTTTTTCTTTTAACCCACTCACTTCTCTCCGTACTTTCCCCTCTTTTCTTCTTTATTTTCTTTCTGCTCTCGGCTCTTCAAAACGAATCGATATCAGTATCGGTATAGATACATATATATATATATATAAATATGTGTATGTGTGTGTATGTATATATGCATATATATCTATACAACCGATGAACACTATCGTTTACGTTATAAACGCACAGCCAATAATTTATCTTGGAACGCAACTTTGGCTTTTTTTTTCTGTCTCTCTCTTTTTTTTTATTATTGTTGTCGAGAAAATACTTTATTCCTAAAATCCAGGATTTCGTTTCTCGGTATTTCACTTTTTGTTTTATCGTTGAATAAATGCTCGAGAGTATCCCGATATTACTTTCCGCTCTTCGTTTCCTTTTTTTGCTTGTTGTAAAAAGCTTGCAAGCAGCAAACCGGAGGGAAACATTTGGTTTGTCACGCGCGACCGAATCGCCGCCACTCGAACGTTGTTTCACGCAATCGATCACCTAACAATCACTCTATCTTTCTTTCTCTCTCTCTCTCTCTCTCTCTCTCTCTCTCTTACTCTCTCTCGCTCGCTTTCTCTCTCTCTCTCTCTCTGTCTTTCACGACGATCGTTATCTTCCTTCTTCCATTCGATATATCGTAGACGTCTACATTCCAGTCAAAGAAAATCGTGACTGATGCGACTTCATTTTTCGTACAACACTCGAACCGACGCTCGTTACAGCAACTATGTCCATAGATCTATAAAATGAGAAAATATTGGAGATGGTGTGGTATTAAATATTTTAGTTTGACTTTTTTATTCTTTTTTTTTAATATCATCTTCCCAGGCAATAGTCTTCCTCCTTTTACTTATATAATATATATATACACACATGTGTGTATTTATATAAAAATTATTCATACTTTTCAAAGGAATAATCTCGACCGTTCCTTTTAATTAGATCAAATAAAGACAAATATCATTTTAAAGCTTTCATTTTGCTTTTTCCTTTTTTTTTCCTCTGTTTTATATATATATATATATATGTTACCGTCAAAGCCAGAAATCAATCATTGCTAGTAATTCCTCGGCATTGTTATCAATGCAAAGCGCCTTCCGACGAAGTCGGAAATAAGACTTTTTACAGAGTTTTTCTAGGCATAGAACATAATACTTTGATATCCTATAGAATATCAGAGATTGCAATGCTATAAATTGTACAACTTTGCTATTTCTTTGAAAAGTTTTGGTTAATATTTTTTATACTAAAAGAGTGAATAGATTTTAATGAAACTTATATTAAATTAAAGTACACTCTTTTGTCTAAGCGTAGAAGACCATATCGAGTTATAAATTTAGCATGTAAAGTTCAGGAAATGTCAAAGAATGCAATGCTGTAAATTGTGCATCTTTGCAATTTCTTTGAAAAGTTTTGGTACATATATATATATATATATATTTTTTTTTCCCGTTTATTTTTTTCTTCTTTTTCATCTTGTAAGACCGGACATGAGGTTTTAATGATTTTAAGTAGAAAAAAAATATTTGAGCTATTCGAGTTTTGATATAGGTGTATATAAAGGATAGTAGGGATTTTTAGGTTCTTATTGTTAATTAGACAAATAGCGTTGAAAATCCGTTTGAACAAAGCGAAAAAGTCTCGTAAAAGTTTTCAATATCATCCACTTTGGCATCTCATATCGATGTTTCTTTTATGTAATTTCGTTCAATCAAAAAACGTTATAATGAAACGTTTAAGGGGAAAGAACCAGATAGGGAGAAATTTCGAAATTATTCTTTAACCGCAAAAATCGATCTAACCTATCATATAAATAAGTATACTATATGTCCATTGTTTCTTTCGAGAATGCGTATAACGCGAATTTCTGCAAATATTAATGCGCGTCAATAGAAAATGATAGATTTATACCAAATCGAATGTTAAAAATGTATTTATATATTAGGTTGCTCAAAAAGTTTGTACCAATTTAAAAATCATTCAAAGATAACATGTCTACATATATATATGTATATATGAATTTAACACGTATATTATCAAAAATGTATTATATTAAGTGTAGCAATGAATTCGTGCGAATTGATATTAAATTTATTGCATCTAAATCGCCATTTTTTTTTCGTTTAAAATTTCGTCAATTGTCTATAAGATAGACCAAAATCATCGGTAATAATATAAACTATTTCGAAGATTAACAGATATATGATTATTTTATAAATCAATATTAAATATGTTTAAAAAGACACCCCTAATATACTACCTATACCTATAAATATTTTTAAAAATCGGCACGAACTTTCTAGGCAACCCAGTGCTTATGTTAAATACCTATACGTAAGTTTAATTTCCGCTAATGTTATTCTACGTTTGTTTAAAGTATTTAACGTTTCCACGGGAGAAGTAAAAGAGAACAAAGAAGAAATGGAAAGTCCAATTATATAAACTATCGTATCTGAGAGAATTGCAGTACATATTTTTCTTTCCATAGGTCGGTACTTCACAATATAATTTGTCGTAGTACTATATCTCGTCAGAATGATTCCTTTCACCTTTCTCTTTCTCTTTATTGCTCTTTTTTCTTTTTATTTTTTTTTTAACTTTCAAGATACGCAAGAGCTAATCTCGTAATAAGAAAAGTTTTCCTACCGTTGCGCATTTATTGTATGTAACAATTAAAATATTATATATATATAAATTTTTTTCTTTTCCTTCTTATACCAAAGTACTTCGCATTTTTTTTCTTTTTAACGTAACAGGAAGTAGCAGCGATGGGAATAAAATGGCACAGGATTATTAAAGAATCGATGAAGACATCCCTTGAGAGTTGAGTATGCTCTAGCACTCTAACGAACGAAGCCTTTTAAATTCCGGTACGTCTGCTGTCTGTTCGCTTTTTCTTCATTTCCCGACAGAAAGAAAGAAAGAATCCGTTATGCTATTTTAAAAAATGGACGCTTTCAATTAGACTCATTTTTGTCGTTTAAATAAACCGGGTTTTTTTCATCTCACTGTAAGCATATCGATAAACACGTTCTCACATTATCCGAGCTTGTAACTACTAATTAATCGCAAATTTGATTTTCGTGACATTATCATTGATTCTACATTGCAATTTATAACGTTAAAAATATTCACAAAAGGAAATTTAAAACGCATATTTATTTTCCCACAATTTTTATCGTCGTGTTACGTTCCGCGAGATTTCAAATGCCACTTTGCAAATTTGAATAACATTACGTTTAATTGAACTCACTGCTAACCGTAGAAACCTCGAGCTCTTTTCAATCTTAATAAATCAATACGGGGATTTTAACCGATTTTTCTATATCTTTTTATTTCCTTTTTTCCTTTCCTTTGGTCATTTTTTGTTGTTGTTACATTCCCACACGAAACTAGTCGCTTTATTTGCGGTGAGTTTCTGTATCGCGAATTCAACGAGATATCCGATAAAACGTTTGCCTTTTCTCTTTCTCTCTCTCTCTCTCTCATTCTCTCTTTTTCTTTTTCTCTTTTTTTCTTTCCTATTTCGTTATCCCTTCTTTCTTTCTAGGAAACAAACTGTACAAAACAATGCTCGGCCGCATTCGTTCCGTCTTTCTTCCATTTGTGTTCGCGTTCCTATTCACTTTTCGTACAACGTTCCCATTTTACTAACGGAGGAATAGATAAACTTTTTATAGAACAGGAAGAATAGTTTCAATCCATAGTAAAGCTACACTCAACTTTTTGACATTATCAAATTATATGTGAAACGATAAATGCGTATATACGATACATACGTATGTGTATATACATACAATATATGTAATACATAAGTAAGTATACGAGTAAGTATAATATATATGGATGCGTAAGTATACAAGAATGAAGTTGCATTTTAAAGGAAGCATATATGATATCTGGATATTTGAGAAGAAAAAAAAAAGATGGAAAAAAATCATAGGATAGGAGGGAAGATTCGAAAAGAAACTCGACTGGTTGCATCCCTTGATTTATTGTATTTCTTCCTATACTCCGAATATTTCATATCGCGATAGACAGCACGGTTCATGATTTCGCTAAGTAAACATCTATCTTTTGTTGTCTGGAAAAAGAAAATAGAAAAAAATACAAAAGAATATCTTGCCATCTCGGGGATAAACATGTACCGTTAGGACTTCTTTATCAATAAAAATAAAGATAGAGAGAGAGAAAGAGAGAGAGAGAGAGAGAGAGAGAGAGAGAGAGAGAGAGAAGTAAACAAAAAGAGGAATAAAAAATAATAAAAAGGAAAGAAACGAAATCACTTTTCGTGAAAGCCACGTTCGCGTAATAACGTTCCTCTATCGCTTTCCGATAGGTTTAAAGCCGTAAATGGAACGCATTGTGTTACTTACTCGTTTTACTCTTCCATCTTTATATTTGTTTCTTCTTTTTTATTTATTTATTTATGTGTGTGTGTTTTTTTTGTCCTTTTTTATTATCAATATAACTATACAACTTCGATATCGTCACGAATGATATATTATATTAAAAGATATACGAATTTTAACGAGATGTAAAATCAGAAAACAATTTATTGTAAGTTTTATAGAATGAAACTAAATTTAAATTACAACCATAGAATATAATTCTCATCACCGAGTTCATATTGTTAGATTCTATTGTACCACGTTTCATTTCACCGTATAACAACATTTTATGAACTAATTCGATGAACGAAACGAAAGTAGGAAGAAAATCGATATACATACTCACTCGCATTAACACATGTGTATTTCAATAATTTATTTTTAATCCAATAGTCATTGTTATCATTTTATTTTTACCGTTTAAATGTGTACGCGTATTATATGTTTGCACGGATTTGAAAGAAAATGACAAAATTTACATTTGAAAGAATGACAATAAATTTTCTTACTTTTATATACGATCACGTAAAAAACATTTATTATAGTTCTAATCATTTTTATCTTTTTTTTATTTACTCAATAAACAATTTTGTCTTATTTTATTTTTTACGATTATAAATTTAGTTATAGTAACTATTGGTACTTGACTACCTACGTGAAAACAGATTTGTTATTATGAGATGAGCTATCAAATATGAAATTGAAACGTGTTACAACACGACCTTTGGGGAATGATTATTAAACGTTATCTATGCATGCTAATTAAATGTTGCCATAATTGCCACTAACAACGATCTCACGTTATATCGTTATAACAATAAACATTCTATTACAGGTACTCAAGATTTTATAGGATAAACGTAAGACTTGAACATTATATTAACAGATATAGTTATTTATATTTTACAAATAAATCTCGTTAAAATGATCTTTCTTAATAATTTTCCGTAAGAATGTTTAATTATCTCTTTTTTTTTTTCTTTTCGATGTATATTCGACAAAAAGTTTTTTAATTTAAGAAAGATTGTATATGCACCGTTGCTTTAAAACGTTTTGAATGCTTTTTAATATTTACCAAGGCAACATACGAGAGCAAGAAGCCTAGCACATATATACGAACGATCTCTAAAAGCAGATTATAAATATATCGCGTACGCTCTACCGAACATAAAAAATTCTATTATCTGTTGTAATCTTATTATTCACTGTAACATATAAAAAATAAACATTTTTGTTAAAAGAGAAACGAAATATTATAGACACGAAAAATTTTAAATAATCATTCCTCAGGTTTCTTTAAATTCGAAAATTCGTGTATTATTTTTTGTCAGTCGACACGGTGGAATTA